CTGAAGAAATAAGTAATTTTCTATCAGTTCAGCAAGCCGAGCAAGACAGTCGGCTTAGCTGTTGCTTCACATCCTATATTTTAATACATATTTTAACCCCATTCTCTGTGTATCTGTTTAACTTACAGGCTTGTGAAGGTAAGCAACACTCATCCTTGTGCAGCCCTCATAGCACAGCACTGCTCTTCAGCACACTGACTGCAACTGAACAGACATCACCCCAAGGTCAACTCAGACCTAAGAAAGGGCTGCTGTGGTTTATAGCTGTGCCCATCAGGGAAGAAACCTCTCTACTTCTTAAATACACTTGGACATCCAGGGCAGATACTGTAATGCAACTAACTGTGGCACTTCATGGTTAACTTCCCCCAGCTGTGGTGCACAACACATCCAACATCCACTGGAGCAAGATATCACAACCCCTGCTGCCTAACAAAACCATGGGTACCAGACATCCCAGCCTGTCATTGCCTCAGCATCTCTGCTGGGTGAATGACAGAGGTGTCTCAAGCACACAGCAGGAGCTGAGGGTTCTCTGCTACTTCATCAGACCAGACCTCCTGCCAGGAATTGAATTGAAGCACAGAAAATGCATCTTCTCTGTAGGAATAAAATAAGGATGGTGGGAACCTTCCTACCTTCCTCCCGTCCCCCCATCTGATTACATACAAAATGTTCTTCTGCTTTTAAGGGCAATTTAACACTAGTTAACTACCATTAATTTAAATCAAACAAGTCTGAAAAGACAGAACATGCTGAACTGCTATTTAAAACAGCTGAATCTTCATTCACTCAGTCTGAGACATTACTGCCCATTTCCTAGCCAATACTGTCTGGCTGTCCAAAGACCTCTCTCTGCAGTTTTTAAGCTGATATTTAAGCCTACTTTGTTGGCTTTTGTAACACAGTGCAGTCTGCTTTGGTATCAGAGAGATTCAAACCTTGCCATCAAACTGCTTCTATTGCAAAGTATGGAAGGAAGTCAGAAAAAGGATACGGGGACAAACTGATTAATACCAATTAATCTAACATCAAATTCACCCCATTTCCAAGAGCAAAACCAGGTAATCCTCCAGCACTAAAGTAAAAACAGCTCAAGAGGAAAAAAGCTTTGCTCTGCCATGTTTCATGGACTTGTCCTCAACAAGATCTCAAGAGGCTGCTATCTAGACTTTGCTGGCAGCTCAGATGATCCACAAGATGGGCCAGAACAGACAATCCTGCTGGAGGCTCTACTGGCACTGCAGCCCTGGCAGTTCTAAACCCATTTTCTCCTCATCCCTCTACCCCTGACAGTAAAGCTAGCTCACATGAACGGGAAGCAGCACAGAATGCATAGGATCATTTGGTGCTTACGTTTACACGTTTTTCCCAAATGATGTGCACCAATATGTAGTTTTACAACAGCCTGTGGCTTCCATACAGACATCTTTGTCTGGACTAGAATATTTGCAAGTTTCTTTAGCCATAGTGATGGATCTGCTAGAAGAATGCAGAATAAAACAACTGCTGCAGATCAAGTTTGGACCTCATTCCTCAGGGAATACAACCACCTTCAACTCCTTGCCTAGAATTAGTCCCATCCTTGAATTACTTATCTTCAATAGCTCTTGGTCCTCTCAGCTCAAGGCTAATCATAGGAAACTTTTTTTCTTGTGTTCCACAGAGCTTAGTCAGGCCCAAACTCACCTCAGACACTTGTGATAAAGCAGAAGAGAGGCCTTTAGCTCAAGCCTAATGAAGACTGTGTAAAAGCCAGCTGGTGAAGCACTTACTGACATCTTTGTTATTAGAGAGATGCAAGTCTTTGCACCCTCCCATGCTTGTTATCAATTCAGAATCCCAAGGAACATCATTAAGTCTTCAAGGCTGGGTTGGATGTGGCTTGGAGCAACCTGCTCTAGTGGAAGGTGCCTCTGCCTGTGGCAGGGGGGTTGGAACTGGATGAGCTTTAAGGTCCCTTCCCACTCACACCAGTCTCTGAAGATCCTATGAAGAGGACTATGAAACAACAGACCCTGAGCACCTTGCAGGCATGAAAGTTCTAATTTGAGAGCAAAGGTAGCTACCACTGTCTGGTACTTACTACTTGTTTGCATGTTGTTTCCCTGAAACACTTAGGGAAATAGTGCAACATCCAGCTCTCCTGCATTGCTCTAATAAGAAAATTTTATGGGCCACTCACTGCCTTCTACCTCAGAAAAGTAACTTGAGTATCTCAGATAATAAATGAATCCCCAGTACTCAGCAACAGAAAGCAGATTTTATTTTATAGCCAGAGGAACAAAACCCAAAGAGAACTATTGATGATTTAGGCATACATAAACCTCATGAGATCTTTGAAAATGAGTAGCCAAATAGATGTACGAACAGCCCAAAGTACAGGCCATTCCATGACTATTCCCCATCCCTGGAAATGTTCAAGGCCAGGCTGGATGGGGCTTTGAGCAACCTGGTCCAGTGGAAGATGTCCCTGTGCCAGAGGGATTGAAACTAGATGGGCTTTAAGGTCCCTTCCAACCCAAACCATTCTAGGATTCTATGGTTATATTCCCTGGGATCTATGCAGGACACGGATGTAAGAAGGCGACCTCTTCCCAAATATCTTTCACTTCAATACACACCCACAAAAAACAAACTCCAAAACCCTACACAAAACAACAACAATGAAAAGCAAACAAACCAGCCAGACTTCATATATTCTCTCTTAGACTACAGGCCACAGCTGTTCAGAAGTGTTCTGTATATTTATTAACAATTAGTAATGTTAAAGCTGACATTACTGAACCCCAGATATGGCTACTGAATAACATATGGCCATGTTATTAGTACTGGAGTGATTAATTATGAACTAATTCATAATTACATAAATAAGTACAATTCAAGGGATAACGCATTAGCCCAAGTTTCACAGCATTTTTGAGATATAAATAACAAAACCATCTATAATCCAGAATGCAAGTTTCGGACTTCCACCTCTTCAAATGTCCCAAATCATCAATGCACATTAAGTGTATGTATTTTACCAGAAGAATGCAAATCAAAATTCATGTTATAGCTGAAGTTCTTTACCAACCTTTAACAGATTTGCTTTGATGAACTCATCTACTCCCTGGCTTCAGACTATGCCAAAGCATACAGCACCCACAAGAGGCTATGGCTGTCAGTGCCACAGCTCTGCTCACACAGCTTGAAATACCTCTTCTGTTTTAAGCCTGCCTCCTCCTTGCTTCCTTTACTGCACTCTTGGTTTCAGACTAGAAGAGACAGTGAGAAATGATCCCTACACACCCTTCACCACATGCCTCATGATTCTATACCTTTGCTTTCACGAGCCAAAACCCAACCAATGGATTAAGGGACTTGTTTTATCTTTACTACAAGACCTTTTTAGACATGCTTCATCAAGTGCTACCCCTCTGGCTTCAACAATTAGCAAGAGTGAATTAAGCAGGGTCTGTGTCACTGATCTCTTTTTGTGTGTGTACTTACCTGTTGCTTCAACAGTGTTTGACACCTGCTGTAGCTCTGGCATCAAAGTCTACCTCCTGTGGTTCTGTGAGGCTCTTTAAGCATGGCCATTTACACAAGTTAATCACACTCAAAAGCTGAATTCCTGACAGACCTGAAGGAGATGGGCCAGAGTTAATCTTGAGCACATTTTGGTGAGAAGAGTAAGGATCACTCCTCAATATGATAAGGAGGAATTCTTCATGCAAGTTGATAGTAAATCTTCTTAAAAACAGGACTTTATTCAAAGGAACAAGGATGAGTTCTGTGTGTCTTAAAAGAAAAAAAAATGGCAATTTTCTAACAGAGTTTCTTTTCAGCTGCCAAGGAACAATGGCTCTTAAAACCTGTCCCTCTGCTGACTCTAGAACCTACAGCAGTATTATTGATGGGCCAAATGTCTTCCTGGTACACAGCAAAAAAGCTCCATTCTTAAGAATTTTGCAGAGATCCACTGTTACTTGTGCAAAGAATACTACATCTGGTATACTGATGTGCTGTGAAATGCCAAGTTAAAATGTGCAACAATTGCTCAAATAAATGACCAAGTCCATGCAGTACTGACTCAGAACCTTATCTACTGCCAGTATTTGTCTGCACAAAACCCCCAAACATCAATACCATGGGTTGTTCCATTTATTAATGAGCCTCGTGGCATTTTTGCTCACTCACAGATGTGCAAGTACTTGAGAACTGCATTTAGTGAAGAGCAATGATTCAGTGTAGCACAAGTGATAGATCAAGATACTTCAGCTACTGAAGTCTAGTAGATCCTATTGAAAACTAAACCTTTTACACCTGAAGTGTACAGTTTTAAGAGTTCTACACAGCATACTGAAAATCAGCATAGGATCTCCAATGGCAATGGTTACCAAAAACAACTCCCACACTGAAGAGCTGCTGTTGCAAGTGGATATGCTGTTTTCACATCTGTATCAAGTTCACAGAAAAGTACTTACATTTCCATTTACCTGTTGAGATATATATGCACTGTGCACTTACTCTGCAGCTAAGCTCATGTAATAGGATACTCCAAGCTTACTTGCACCAAAAGCTTTAATTATTACAAGCAATATAAGAGCAAAACACAAGAAAATTTGTTTTATCCCACAACCACCACTGTCATTATATATTATTACAAGACACCATTTTTCAGTTATGAATTCACAAAGACCATACAAAAGATGCATGACATAAGAGCAGAGTGAAGTCTGACAATAACTTACGATCCATTACGAGCACTCTAACAAATATGAAAGAATCAAATATTGCTCCAATGTAGACAGCTAAATTTTAGTTGTGCAAAGTGAGGCACAATTCTTTTGAGCCTTGATTTTTTAAGCAACCATGATAGTAACCATCCATACTTACAGAAATATTTTTCATTGTAATTAAATATGGATACCGACGCTTAAAAACCTTCGGAAAATAGAATAGAGTTTAAGTTACACATTTACAAGTGTGAAAGAAGACAGACATGAATAAGGCATTCCTCTAATAAGGAATTTTAGAGCAAGATTAAATTTTAAAGACAGTGTTTTCAAAATCATCTGCCTCAAACAAATTCAGGCCATTAGTTCAACTCCAATTTCTATAAGGCTTGTCCCATGCCAAGAGTTTCCTTCAAAATCCTGCTGTAGGATGTTTCAAGAAACATCACATGCCATCTGACAGATGAGATAACGCATACAGCAGATCCCTGTCAATGGATATTAAACACAAAAAAAATGGGGTCATGCTCTATTACTTACAAAGGGCTGGTTCTAATCAAGAATGAAAAAGGTTTCGTTATGCACAATCTTAGTTACAAAATGTCAGTGATTATTACAGTTAAATGCAAAACCAAAGCATATTAAAGAACCCAAGGCACATTTTTCAGTGAGGTGTGTTTATCTCTCTTATTCCAGCGCTTCAGTGATTTTAGCAACTCATTGAAATCGTCACATCTCTCCTGTATTCCTAAGAGCAAAACATAGATCACAGCTGCAGACCAATGTTTACCAAAGCGTGCCAACTGCTCCAGACCCACGTTTCAAAACCCTGCTCATGAGACGGATACTCATTTTACAGGCAGGAGCTGAAATGACATCATACAGTCTATAAGCCAGTTGGAGGGGGCCATCCAGACTTTGCCTTGACGAATTTTCTCCGGCTTGAATTTAGAAGACACATCATAGATCACATATTGAGTGCAAAATCTCTGGTCAGAAGTAGATTCTGCATGGTATGCCACCGTGTTTATTGTCTGTGTCACATCACTGTCTGGTTTAGGCTGTCTAACCAGAATTTGTCCTCCTGCTGCTTTGACCAGCTCCACAAGGTCACTCTTCTGGTGATGTTTGAAAGATCCCAAGAAATAGAAATAACATCCATCAAACAACTTAGGCAGCTATGTGGAAGGAAAGAAAAAAAAGAAAGTATAAATACAGGTCATCACAAGTGAGCACACTGGAAAACAGTGGAAAGGAATCATCAGTGCCTACAGAAAGATATAATTTAAAATAAGCAATACTGGAAGCTAGAAGAGTCCCAACCCATGCCACAGGGGTTCTTAAGATCCTTTCCAACCTTGAACATTCTATGATTCTATGTACCATCCTCAGTGTAAGTATGCAATCAAGAAAAGCTTGCTTACATGGCAAATTCTTGCTTATGTTCAAATATTTTCCAGCATAAAAGGATTTGAACAGTGAGCTACAACTCTGCACAACTACTGTTACAGTACATTTAATGAACGTTTCCAGTGTAATCTAGTAAGTAAGCAGAAATTAACCCAGTTAAATATAAAAGTAGCCTTAGATGGAAACAAGAAGTAATAAACCCCTTCTTCTTTCATCAGGTTATTTCAACAGACTTCTAAAGCTGAACAGAGAAGGCTGATGCAGCATCACTTCCTGTCCCATACAGCTTCTTCCATGAGTGTAGCACAGCCTCTGACAAGGTTATAGCAACATATCTATTAATAGAGCAAAATGACAGCTTTATGGGTGTTCGCAGTTCTTTCCATCACCTTGCACATAATCAAGTTTCTGTACAAGACCACATTAAACTTTTACATCTACTGCACCTTTGCATGTGGCAAAGGGCAAAAATAATGCATGAACCAAAGGTCATTAAAATAATCTGTCTCAAGCAATAAAACCCACCAGATGTTCTCTGTTGAGCCGGCCTCTTTGTGGGCCACCTTGAATTTCATACTTCTCTTCTTGTTCTCGAACTGTGGTCCGTAGACAGGCTCGTACCCCTACAAAGACCGCAATGACGAAGGCAAATATTAGAGACCCCATGTTTTTACAGAGGCTGCATGACATTTTAGGGACTCAAGAGTTGCACTAAGATAAAAGGATTACCTACAATGCAAAATATTGCATCCACATAGCATCAAAGCCTATGTGCTTTAGAAATTTGCCTTTAAACTTGAGAACATTTCCAACCACGGTTGAAGATGCAAGTTAGATGAGGAGAAGTAATATCACACTAAAATCAGTGCTATGAACACTGGGTGTTTTTAGCTTTTCCTCTTACCCACTAAAGGTCAACCACTTAATGTCAAATGTCAGACCGCTGATCATTTGGAAGCTTAAATCCAGCATGTAGAACCAACTCTGCAGTTATGAAATGGAAGCAATCGCCTGATAAAGAGCAATTACAAAGCAAGCACAAAGCTGGGCTATGGCCTCAAATAACAAATCAGGTGGGATTCCAAGATCAGCACAAACCGGAGATTTATGCTGGGGTTTAACAGTGGCATTCATTTTTGTTACCACTGCTGCATAATGAGATTGTCTTTTAGAGTCAACATGTTTTACCTTGTTTTAAGCCTAGTTATTTTTTTTCCAATGCAGAATGTGCTAATGTGTTGCTAGCATCACTTAAATGTACTACCTGACCTCACTTAGGAAAAAGAGATTGCTGTGGTCACCCATTCAAGGGTGGAACATTTTGCCTACACATACACTGCACTCATTAATAAAAATTACCCAAGAAAAGGTTACAAAGCTAATTTCGTAGACTGCTCCATGAGGATTTACAGTGCTAGTAACTGTTAAAGTAGCACTTCACGCCTTGCACAACATTTCTTACTCAGGCAACTTATTTCCACTGTACAAATATGAAACCCAGAGTACCTAAAGAACACAAACTGAACAAAATCAGAAGTAAAATGTGAGGGGTTGATCCTAAAAAGTAAGAAAGCACAAGACTATAAAGAGAAGTATCACTGACAAAAGTATTGGATACCATGGCAGTAAGTAGCCAATAGATAGGAATTATCTAATGTAGAGAGATCTTGATATCCAACTGTTAGTAATTTACTACGAGTTCACGTAACTCACACAATGCAATGGGAATTCATATTTTAATTACTAGAAGTCCTCCAATGTACTTAAATCAATAAAGATAAACCTATACAGAAAACCAGAACTGGCTGAATACTATGGCAAATATGCCTCCATGTACAGGTATAAGACTGATTATTTGCAGTAGTTCATTCCTTTGAGAAAAATTAACATGAACTGGAAAAGCAACCTAGTCATGTATTTTCTGGAATAGCAACTTACATATTCATTACTGGTAACAGCAATGAATACATTTTCAAAGCACTCATAACTCAAAAATAAATCTAAGTTATTTCAGTATTTTTTTATCATCACAACTCAACAAGACTTCCTGTGTCAGTTTCTCTCTAACTTACACAGCTATTCTTTCCTTCCAAGAAAATCTAGATGTTAATGGGTGCCACTTATAATAAACATCTCATCTAAAGAACAGAACTGTCCATTCACTAAGAGCATGTTTTATTTCAATCTGCAATCAAAAACTCTATTTCAAGGACTTTCATTACCTAAAGCTTCACTATAGCTGAGGGTTTTATACAATAAGTACATCACAAATTGAGCATCCAGAGCCAGCATTAGCAAATGAAGCAAATGTGATATGAAAGTAATAAAAGGTTGAATGAATAAAAAAACCTACAGTTTCTTTTTGTACTGCTACTCACCTGAGAAACTAAAAAGTACGTTATGAAAGTGACTGTTAGTGGAATGTCTATGTTAGAAAAATAGGTTATGACTGTATGCATACATATGTCCATCCATTTCACACAGCAAAGTTAGTTGTCCAAGGAATCTGTATGCCTCAAAGCAAGAGCAAGAAAAGAAACTCACCTATACGTTCTGTTTTCATCATATCTATAAGGACCACAAGATAAACATTTGTTTCCTTGAAAAACTGGAAACATGCAAACAGACCTGTCTAGCTAGTGTATGCATGATGAGTGCTGATTATTAAACCCCTATGTCAGGGGGGTTGGAACTAGATGATCTTACAGTCCTTTCCAACCCTAACTATTCTATGATTTGATGATTAATTTTTAGCTTTTCTTAACCAGCTAGAATCACAACAGATCTGTGTTTTAACAGACTTGTGGCACAAAAGGTATTTTATCTTAAAAAGCCATGAACGTAAGTTCTCAGTGCCCAAGTGTTTCCTTTAACATAAGCTTATGTTAAGGGACATCATCGTTAGACCTACCACACACACAGCCCTTTGTGGAGCAACAGATTCTGTGATATTTGGTGGTAGAAAACTAAGACATTTTCAATTCCCAAACATTTTTCATGCAAGATGTAGAAGCAGAACTTGCTCTGACTCATGGGTCTTGTCATATTTGAGAGATGTTTTTGGAACTACTGTGCTCGGGGACATTTTAAGCAGTCTTATCTAACACTTTGTCTATGTGCAGGTAGCAAAAGAGGAAAGACAGTCTTTGGAATCATCAAGTTTGAGGAGATGGTGTTTCAGACTTCAAAATAATTCATGGCAATCCCACCACCAACAGCACAGCCAATCTGTAGTAAGAGTATCACTTGGAAAGAGACAAGACAGTACAGACAAGGTAACAGCAAAAGACCCTTAGGAACAAGGAATGACCGAAGTCATGTATCACCAGAATCATGGTCTAGCTATATATTCAGAAAACTGATGCAGTTAGCAACCAGAGGAAGGTGCTTACAAACTTAAGGTGAACAGTCAAGGAATATCTATCCACGGAAGACCTCCTAATTAGAAGAAAGAAGCTAAAGTAATTTATTTAAGTGACAGAGACCAGTATGTCCATTAACTGCAGACTTTGTTCAGACTGATTGCTTTGAGTCGCTCATTTCTCTTCAGTGACTCCTGCATACTTAAGAGATTTTGTACTAAAGAATTAAAGAATTCACATACCACAATAAAAAAGAAATCAGAAAATTAAAAAAAATAATATCTCCCTGTTCTCATATTTGAGATAAAATGAGAGGGCTCAAGTTGTGTTTCTACCCAATTCCTTATGCATCTATAAACAAATTTTATTGACCCATTCTTTAACCCCCCCTCTCCATACAGAACTTAGTGTCAAGTCACTTGCTTCTAGTTTATTGATTTTGCATTATCATTTTCAGATGCAATGGCTCCAACAGTCAAATTGAGCTTCTCAAAGACAGCGTAATCAGCTTCAGCGTCACTTGGAAGCACCAGGAATGTACGAGCTTTATCATCCTTCTGTGAGACAGCACAACCACCACCAAATGACCTGGTGCTAAAAAAACCCCTCAATTTCACACTTATGAGTAGGGATACAAACAGAAGATTAGAGCATACTTGATTAGCAGTATGAACAGAATACAAACAGAAGATTAGAGCAAACCCCAACCTCTGGGTTGGTTTTTGTTGTGTTTTTTTTTTTTTTTTTTACAGCTAGGGATTTTATTTTCTGTGAAAACTGAGTGCTGAATCCATTCACTAAAGCCCAGGTCTTTTTCTTGAGTAGGCATTCTTAATTCTAAAGCTGCTAACATCTGTAAGGGGCTGAATAACATGACAGTTCCCTTTTAATAGTCTCTCCATCCAACTGAGTGTCATGCTGATTAAGAGGACATATAAAAGGAAATAAAATTCCATAATGCACTCAAAGGTACATCACTCCACTTCTTTCACAGGGACATTCCCAGAAGCTCTCTTGACCTTACAGCACTCCTATGTAAGTCAGAAGTATAGCACCCTTTGACTTCAAACAGGAACTATGTTAAATTGCTTCCCAGAACTCCTGAGATTACAGGCTCTCATTTGTCCATCACTGTATTGAAAAGCCACCAGTGAGAACTTAGTGCCAAGACACTGCTGAAATGAATGGGCTGAAACAAAGAAGTGCTATTATCCTAATTAGAAAGTGATCAGGACAACATCAATACTATGCCATTTCCCTTCTGAAATTGAGACGGACATCTTAAGTACTTATGCGAGAAAAGCAATTCAGAACAGGGATGAATCTTGGAAGAACAAGAACATCCTTAAAGAAACTCTCTGAAAACGGAGGGGAAAGTAAACTTACTTTTGAGAAGACACCTGTAATTTTAGATGGGGGTAGAGGTAAGGGTTAACATTTTTTCCTTCCCCCATTCACTGTACATTCTTCACTGGCACACCTGACTAAAAGTCTAGTCTGTTCTTGCTCTAAAATAAAGTAACACCATTCAACTTACTCAGGATCTCAGCCCATCTTGATTTATTCCTTGATGCTATTGCCAGTAAGACCTGTGGACCTTCTAGGTTTGAGGTTGATCCAAGTTTATTCACTCAACATGCACTTTTCCCTAAAGAGAGTGATTACTGCAACTACACTTTAATGGCCCTCTAGTTTATTCACAGTAGTTGCATCAATTACCGCACGTAAAGAGTTGTGGTCAATGGCTCAATGTCCGGCTGGAGACCAGTAACGAGTGGTGTCCCTCAGATCAGTGTTGGGACCGGTCTTGTTCAACATCTTCGTCGCTGACATGGACAGTGGGATTGAGTGCGCCCTCAGCAAGTTTGCCGATGACACCAAGCTGTGTGGTTCGGTTGATACGCTGGAGGGAAGGAATGCCATCCAGAGGGACCTTGACACGCTTGTGAGGTGGGCTGATGCCAACCTCATGAAGTTTAACCATTCCAAGTGCAAGGTCCTACACCTGGGTTGGAGCAATCCCAGGCACAGCTACAGGTTGGGAAGAGAAGAGATTCAGAGCAGCCCTGCGGAGAAGGAGTTGGGGGTGCTGGTCCATGAGAAAATTAACATGAGCCAGCAGTGTGCGCTTGTAGCCCAGAAAGCCAACTGTATCCTGGGCTGCATCAAAAGGAGCGTGACCAGCAGGTAGAAGGAGGTGATCCTGCCCCTCTACTCTGCTCTCGTGAGGCCTCACTTGGAGTACTGTGTGCAGTTCTGGT